GGACACCGGTGGCGGCGGTGGCACTGCGTGTGACTCGAGTTTTGATCTCATAACAGGTTTCACTGTAAAAATTCGGCAGCTCCCCGGCATGGGAATTGATGTCATCCGCAGCATGGAGAGGCAAGATGACCGGGCTTTAATATTTTTTTCCGAGCGACACGCTACGAAATGACGTTAAAGATACGTATAAAAGTTAAATGCACAGATATGTACACTGAAGAGTTGCATATGTTTTATATAACTTGTTGCCTACATTTTTGTAATGATAACAGCAACATGGGTGTCTCCAAGAACAGAAGCAGACAGCTGAAATGTAGCACTTGTGCTTGCGAGGATGATAGCCTAAGATAAAAAAAGTGCTGCGGATGGTGTCTAAGTACAATTGGGGATACGGAGTCGACGTGACACATATCATTGGAGTACATATGAAAAGCTCATAAAATTTATGCACAGCACTGAAACTACAGCTCCCGTCTTTATCCAGGATTTTCCGAGATGTGGTGTGGCTGTCTGCACAACGACGCTTCTCGGAAAATCCTGGATCTTGACAGGAACTTGAATGCCTCGCAGAATTTTTGGGTTCCAATGTTGCTGGGACCATACCATATGATATATGCGTTTGTCGGGTCAGCACTGCCTATCGGTTTTTCTTAACGCCCTCGCACTTAAATAATCAAAATCTGTTTTCACCATTCCTCGGTAGATATAACTATCAAACATTTGTGGCGTATACCAGCATACCGCGCTCTGGGAACTATGGGTATTTGCCACACCTGTGTGCAGGAAAGAATGTGATCGCATAAATGACGGGATTTCAACATTGTTCACGTCATTACCAGACAGTATTTATCGTGAAACCCTCTTGACTTCCCATTTTTATTTTCCTCTACCCCAAGTGAAAAAGCTCCACATGGTATAAGTGGAGCTTGCGCAACTGCCACGAGCATGCCATTAGCGTAGCATGTAGTCATGTTTTACATGACATGCATATCATGATTATGTTTTGAACGCGACATTTATATTCGTCGCTAGTAACGTCACGTGATACCAAACTTGGTATATATGGACCCAGCGAAACAGCCTCGAGTGCGCTATGAGCGTAGCATCTAGTCATGCCATGATTATCATGCTTGGACGTGCATTTAACTTCGCCGTGACTTCATGACACGTAATACTAAATTTGGTGTATGTGAACCTAGCAAAACCACTGCGAGCACATCAGTAGTGTGGTACGTTGTCATGTTCTTAGATGACACGCATGTCAAGATCATCACGTTTGCACCACTCATGTGTCTTCGTCATTCATTGACGTCTCATATCAGCAAATTTGGTATATCTGAAGCTAGCGAAATGACCACGAGCGCACTACGAGTATATCATGTAGTCACGTTTTACATGAGACGCATATCATGATTATCATGCTTGTACGTGTCATTTACCTTCGTCGTGCGTTCGCGTCACTTAATACCAAATTTGGTATATGTTAATCTAGGGAGACGGCCGTTAGCGCATCTTGAGCGTGGCATTTAGTCATGTTTTTACATGAGACACATCTCATGATTATCATGTTTGCATCAGTCACATGCCTTGATCATTCATTCATGTACCGTAATACCCAATTTGGAATATGTGAATCTAGCGAAACGACCGCGGGTGCATATTGGGCATGGCGTGGCTGACTGCACATGTCATGACTTACATGACATGTGCAGTGAGCCACACCACAATATATATTCCGAGCTCCAGCCTATCTGAGGCAAGATCAACAAATGTTCGATGAAACAAACACCATGAAATAGGAGTCATTGTCAGCTAACAAAGCCACCTTGAGTACTATCAGTCTTTGCGTCTCTTGTTATGTCGAACTCCTACGTGTATTTGACTACCATGGTCACCACGCCCACTTTCTTCATGGCAGTTTACTAGAAACCTTGATAATCTCTCGTAGAAGATAACTCAATCGTACGTGCATCGATGACAATCGCTATTGAATGTACAAGAAATAATGCCCAGGTGGTAATATTGTTGTTATAAATTACCTGAATCTAGAAAGTCGAAGCGATGACAGAGTGGCTATAAAAGTGCAGACAGATGAGCTGTGTGGTCTACTCGTGTAGGTAACAGCATTACACAAGTTCTCGCCTCTTTATAGCTTGGATTTGCAAAGGATAAGCCAGTGGTTGAAGCGATAGTTATGGTCTTCAGCTATTTTTGTCTTAGTATGAAATTATTACTTGTACCGCACTGAGAATATTTTCAAAAACTAGGTCATCTTGGAAAGCTGATTTTTTTCAGGTACTTTTTCCGGCGTCCTTCCCCTCTATAGTTTTTTTTTATCGAGTCAGTGGCGTAAAGTATTTTAATATCTTTGCACTAAATATGCGGACAAAGAAGTTCAGATGGGCGTCATGTTGAGGCTATCAATAAAATGCATCTGTCTGGTAAAAAAAACAATTTAAATAATTCCATTATTCAAACCTCTTCATCTTTTGCTATCCCCATACGTGATCGCTTCAGTAGCTTTTTAACTCTCAGAATTTCATTTAAAGTCACCGGATAGATAGCAGCTCGCTGTATGCGTGGCGAATGTTCACGTTTACGGGAATTTTTGTCACTGTTTGGTAGCTTATCTAAATGTGGAATGCGAGATACGATAGCGCTGTAATAAAGTCGACGGCAATCTCAACCGAGCATCACTTTTCTCCTGAAATGCCCCCGAGGCCAGCAACCTCTCTCAAGCTGCTTGGATTCCATTATTAGCACTGTGGTAATCACTTCCTCTTCGAAGGAAAAGCGCCAATCTTCTCGCAACGTGAAGGCGTGGTTCCTGAGAGATCGTTGATTTTCCCCCAATGAACTAAATATAGCGAAGAGAACGGGTGCTGAAAATGGCATCAATTACTTGGCGTAGATTTGTGCTTTGGAACGAGGCTAGACGGCATCATCCAAAAACAAGTGCATTCTGCTAACAGATCTGTTAGCTGACTTGATAATTGATCGGACAAGGAGATCTCTCAAAAATAGTATCCGCAAGCCATTCCAGGCCGCTGCTTGTGAATATATTTGTTTCACACCTGACCCGCTTTAAGTAAACACACACGTCAAGAAATTAGACAATTCACGCTGCTGTAAGTGAGCTTAGAAAGGTTAAAATACGGCTTGGGAAAGTTGGTGTTACCAAAACTAACACTTGTCTTCAACATCACATCTCTCTTGGTCGGTTTCTTGTGCTACGCAGCTTCTAAAGTGTGTTCATCAACACATGAATGTGATTTGCCAAGCTGCATTGACTGTTTTTATCCAGAAAAAAAATGAAAATTTATTTTACAGCCTCACTGCAGTTCTTTCCTTTTGGTGTTATTGTTCTGGAGTTTAGGCACGGCCGTTTGCGATGCCGCGTGTGATTTTCTCCTTGCGACATAATGAATCGAAAAATGATTTAATCTAATCTCAGTTCATTTTTCAACCATATTGATTGTTATCACTTTGTTTCCTTGAAAATAGCACTGTGCTATTTCGTGAACTGCCCACTTTTGAAGACATTTGGAACAAAAAACTATGTCGTTTCCAAAACGAGGTATCGCCTTTCCAGTAACGTAGAGAGAAATTGAAATTCATTTAGGTGGGTGATGGGGGGCGGCTGATGTTGAACCATAATGGTATGTGTAGTTTAACGTCCCAAAACTCCATGTGATTATGAGAGACACCAAAAATTTTACCACCTGAGGTACTTCAACGTGCACCCAAATCTGAGCACCCAGGCCTACAGAGATGTCTAATCATAGTTTATGTATGTCCGTGAATGCGCTTGTATGTGCGGCATTTTATTGTGACTGTATGTTGTATTATGGGAGCCACTGCTTTCATAATAAAGAGATTTGGAAATCCAAAAAATTTCGGGGGGAAAGCTGAGCCACCCCTCGCCTTTCCCCTGACTACGCCATTGCTCCCTTTCATAGTTGCTTCCCAGCGGTGATTGCGTCAGGTTACTATAAGGAACAACCAACCAATATACGTTTGACGCAAAGTAAGGGCTAGTCTAACATCAGCGCAGGCGGGAGGAAATAGATGCAGCTTGCAAATACCCAGAAGGAGTGCAATTTTAACCCGTGACGTATATTTATCCTAAGATTTTGAAGAAAAACTAAGTGATCGTGCGTGCGAGGCGACCTGTTCGCAGCAATGAACTTGAGCTTGCTTCATTGTGGCACTTTGCTGTACGCAAAAATACTGGAAGAGAGCACACAATAACAACACGACCTCAGTGAGCGCGCTTGGCGAGTCATGGACAGTCGGGCGAGACGTCGGCAAATGCGTTGAGAGAGTGGTCCATAACGGCAAGCCCGAAGTAGCTCGCTGTTCCCCAGGAGAACCGGCGGCTCGATTCAGGCAACACAAACGTGCGCCTCGCGTTCCGTCAACTACGCGCACTGTAGACCTCCAGAGTGGCTGTCCTAAAAATAGTGCACGCGTTTCTTTCTTCTCAAAGAGGCGCCACGCAAACGCCGCCGTTGCCGGTTAAGGTCGCGCGCGGCAAAAGACGACGAGTGCGCGTGAGGGTGAAAGCGAATCGCCACCGGCGGCCGGATCGGCGCCAGAAACAAAACACGGTTGCCTGGAGGATATGCAAGCATGCCGGCCGAGAACACTGCGATCTTCCTCCAGGCCGCTCTTCGACTTCAGCGCGCGCGACCGTTATTATAGGAGTGGGGTAGAGGCGGCCCGGTTTTTCTATAACTGGTAACTGTGCATCGAGCCGAAGACATACGCAGAATCGCGTAGCGTGTATGAGCGTGTATGTGTGTACGGCTACTGCGAGGAAGAGAAAACAGGAACACGTGAAAGGCGCGGCGAGTCTTGCAGCGTTGCTAGCGGATGACGTGTGAAGCATCGCGCGAGAGGAAGAGCACTCGCTGGACGGTAGCCGGTGGTGACCCTCTTTCCTGGTCCAGTGCCGAGACGGCTGCCCTTTCCGATTCCGTCACGGCACATTCCCTCCCTCGTGCGTGGCTCGGGCGGCGAGGGATCTCCCACACTGCCCAGCCAAGCCTATAAATGGCCCTTAGCAAACGCACGCGCGGTTTCTTGCCATTCTGGATTTCGGACAGCTTAGGTGGGGGCACAGCGCCGGCTGCGAGACATGACGTCTCATATAAAGGTAAGCATGTAACAACAGCAGCAGCAGTCACACTGCTACTGCGTTTGTCATGTATGCGAATTCACTAGCAAAGTCTAACCACTTTGAAGTCTGCGAGAAAAAAAAAAAGAAACGGAAACGCTCGTAGGTGACAGCAATTCCCGAAAAGTAAAACAGCAGGGAATGTAAGCTCGAATAGTTAGAAATATCACATTCGCCAGTTGTTTCAGTCATCATAATAGTACATAGCCCACTTTCCACTTGTTCGAGCCACTTCTTACAGCCGGCCTAAATGTGATCGAAATAGTATGCTGAGAGGTTGATCTGGGACATAACTTCAAGGAGAAATCACAGTGACATACTCTTTTTTTTTTCTCTCTCTCAGATGTTGCACGACGAGAAGTATCGAACTAAGAGAATTCTTCACATGCTCGTGCAACCGAATGTATTGATCAATACGTGACACTTCTATTATGAATTAGTGTAGCGATTTGCATTCATGGATAATATTCTTCTCCGTCCACATTGAATCAAAGATCTGACGATTTATAAGCTGCTACATGAATATTGCACGTAGTGATGATGCTCAAGTTGTCATTAGCACTAGCGCTCAACCAATGAAAAAAAAATCTGAGAATGAGGTTCAGCCTCTTGCCTTTTTGATCGGGTGGAAATCCAAGCGACAAGTTGCTCTTGAATTTCCACCAAGAGAGTGCAGGTGGAAGGTATATCAGTGCTAATGGCTTTCATGATGAGAGCAGAAATCTAAATCCTCGACTATATTAAATATAGGTATTTTGGTCTGAAAGTCGAAGAGTTTTCTCCAATATATACTATAGAGAACACTTGCGCTGCGATCGTTCTGCCAATATGGGAATGATGGTTAGTACACGAATTTGGCTAGTCTACCTGCTTGAGTCCTTCGAACTGACTTATAGCTTTGGTTTGTTCTGGTTTGTATTTTTGGTTTTGTTTTAGATTAAAATATGTACCACTGTGAACTTCGTTAGCCAATTTGAATTGATGAGCCTTAAAGGTCAAGCTGTTGAAGTGAAAATGCTGGTTGAAGTGCCATTTATTCTAGCTCCCGTAAACACAGGGGCGTAGCCAGTGGGTGGCAAACTGACCCCTGCCCCTTCCCCCCTCATCAATGTTTCCTCCATTGCGTACAGAGCGCAAAGTCACCATTTGCTTGCCTGGCCCCCATTTCAGATCGGTCCTGCCTCTCTCCCCAAAAAACACTCTGCCTATGCCACTGCTTATAGGAAACTCTATGCCTAAATGTACACTTAATTCTGCAGCCACCCATTACGGCAATTACAAGCTCCAACCGCATATCTGAGGGTACCGACAGTAAACCCTAGCGGCGTGAATGAACTAATGGTTGTTGAGCGAGCACAATGGCGACAGATATTACGACTAATTGGGATAGTTAGATATAGTCTAAAATAAAAACGTTATATATTCTGTTATTTTTTGGGGGGGGGGTTAAAATAAACATGTTTGAAATGCAGCCCACTTGTTTACTTTTGTAACGTGAGAAAACAGGTGACTCTAAAATAATCACCTGCTCATGGTTATGGGTATATGTCTCTACGTAAGTATACGATGAAGGGCAAGGCAAATAACGGAACTAATATAATATATTTTTCGTTTTCGTATATTTCAGCTACCATTTTTGACCGTTCAATATTAGCAATGTGTATGAAGGTGTACCTTAAGAAATCATTCAGTGAGCGCAGCAGCAAAAAGGAATGGTTTACGATGTGATGATGGCGCTTTCGTAAAAGAACATGCATCAGTAAAATTGGCTGACCTCCAAGTGAACGCTTTGTGATGCCTAACGGCGATAGTCATGACGACTGAAATATTATATCGCGATGTTTCGCACTTGCCATAAAATTATTGAACCTCCGATGGTGAGCATAGCACTATGCCACTGAATGAAGTTACAAAGATACTCAGATGAGATACTCATGTGCTCTGAATAGGTGCAAGTCGTAATAAGAATGAAGTCCTACCATTTTTCAATGAACACGCCCTGCATTTTTGACCAAACACCCTTCGACGGCAGCTAGATATGGCCATGGCAAGTTCACTGATTAGCTGCCTGAACCTCAGCACGAACGATTACCAGCTTAGTAAATAATTCTTCTGTTCTTGTGAACGGACTGTCTTCAATAAGACGACGACAGATGAAGAAGACGTCGAGTGAAATTTCTACTTATGAGCACCTAAAGTCACTTTAGGCACAATTGATTGATACGTGAGCTTTAACCTCCGAAAACCACCATATGTATATGAGAGACACCATAGTGGAGGGCTCCAGAAGTTGTGACCACCTGGGGTTCTTTAATGTGCACCCAAATCTGAGCACACGGGCCACCAACCTTTCAACCTCCATCGGAAATGCAGCAGCCGCAGCCGCGATTCGTTCCCACGACCTGTGGGTCAGCAGCCGAGTACCTTAGCCACTAGACCACCGTGACTGGGCTCTTAAGGCACAATTTTCTCGTCCATTAGTGCAAATGATTTCTCTTCTATTGACCTGTGTAATAAATCATTCATTGCTAATGAAACCTTGACAAATTATGTATTTATATGATCCTTCGTATTATTGTTGAATATTCTCAAGATTCCTCATCGTTGTTGTGACCAATAATTTGACGTGCATTGAATTAAGAGTTTTCGGGAAGGCGCAAGGCCTGGTGATTCGACGCTTCAGCAACAAAACAAGTGTTTTTATCTTTCGTTTTGCAAGCAGAAAAGCCAGCACTGTTTCAATGCGGCTGGATTGCTCAAACTACTGCATAAATTTTACGTGCAAAGAGCCCGGCTTATCGCTGCTCACCGATAACACAGTGAATTTCAGATCGGCGCTCGAGGTGGCTCTATAATTTCAAATGTGCACCGTATAATGTATAAATATTTAGGGAATCACGTTCCAAGACTACGATTTGCTATTGAGAGACGCTGTATAGAGGAGGGCTCTTTAACTATCGACCATCTGGTAACATTAACGTACAGTGACATCGAGCAGTAATAATAATAATAATATATCCAGAATTTAACGTCCCAAAACCACAATAAGATTATGAGAGTCCCTGCAGTGGGGGGCTTCGGAAATTTACATTACCTTGGGTTCCTTACCGAGATTCTAAAGCTAAGTACACGAGGTTCTAACAATTTTGCGTCCATCAAAATTGCAGCCACCTCAGCCGGGATTTGATCCCAGACAACAAATAGTACATGGATATCTCGCATTTTGCCTTCGCCGAAATGCGACAGCCACGGCCAGGACCAAACCCGCGAAATTCGAGTGAACAGTCGAGCACCATAATCAATTCTCTATTGCTGCTGACCAAAAAAAAATATATATATATGGCCGTCCTGGTTGATTACAATGATTTTGGCAAGAAATTTGCGTTATTGCAGGTTCATTTCTTGCCCTGAACTCTCGCTTGAAAAAAAAACGAAAGGGAATCGCTTATTGTGGGTAACAAAACAAACTATCAGAGGCGACTGCCTCTGCAAAAGCTTTTTCAGGGAACACTGTTTATGTAGCGGAGCGTAGATCTAGTTTCACAGCTCAGCAGACATGTATCAGCCACCAAGGCTTGGCTAGCACACGAACTCACGGGCCACAAGCGAGGGTCAGTCACCAGGTTCTGACACAATCACTCAGTCACAATATAAGTCGAAAACTAGTCGTATAGGGGAGCCATGTACATGATTGGTACCATCAAGACGTGTGTGTCAGGAGCATTTTTTACTGACTGTGTCCTCATCGACTGTCGAAATGCAAGATGTCCCACTACGCGCGAGAAGGCTATTATAGCAAGGATGTTCTTACGTTTCACCAACAAGGAAATACCGGTGGTCTTTTCTGCCCCGAGAGAGCACGCGAACCGACTCGACTTTGCGTGCTTTGTTTCAAGAGCCGCGATTGCGATTCTTCAAAGAGCTTCAAGGAAAATGGTCCATAGCGTGGCTCTATAGAAGAGCGTTCAAGCACACAGCCTCGTAGTGGGCTCTTTCGCTCTTTCTGTCTCTCTCAATCCTTCCAAAATAAGCTGCTGCCGTTGCGGGGCACGTACGCGGATGCGGATGCCCGCCTGCGACTTTTACTTCCAGGAAATTTTCTTCCTTCGTTCCAAAGCCCCTGGCCGTTACGGGACCACGCAACTTCGTGCTCTCTATCTGGAGGTTATGATTTTTTATGTTCCGCAGTTGCAATTCTGTATCGTTTCCCGGAATTTCACTTTTCATCTAAAGTGCACTTTACAGAAATGTGGAAGTACCATCTTAGCTTTCCAGAAACGTACTTCTTTCCTCGCTCCTGCGTTGATCCTTTTCGGGGAAAGATGTAAGAAGCTGCTTCCTTTTTTGCCCTTCCCGCACGGCCACTTGATGAGCACTGCAAGTAATTCAATCCAGCGCATACAGCATTACTCATCAACCTGAAAATAGTTGTGTACTTTGCAGATGCGAGTATGATTGTAACATTAAAGAGGCACAGAAGAAGCTGGCGCTGTGTCTGTGCCCGCATGTGCCTCTCTTCTTTCACAGCTATGCGCTGCAAAAAAGCAGAAGTTCCGAGAAGATGAAAGCTAGATAAATGAAAGAAGTAATTCTTGAATATGGGACCCCAGCTGCCCCTAGAAGTCTTCAATATATATATATATATATATATATATATATATATATATATATATATATATATATATATATATATATATATATATATATATATATATATATATATCGTCCTACATTTGTGTGAGCACAAGTCTTGCGCAGAATATGTGACGTAAGTTCTGGCTAAAAATTAGTAACCTCTAATGATCTACTGCAACCTTAGGCGACTTACCCACCAACTGCTACCTCTCGAAGGGGACCAAGTGGTACAATAAGTGGGTGGATGTCATTTATATAAGCTGAAGGAGGAGCTACAGGGGCTCTTTCGTGATAATAAAGGGAAGGTAGCTTTACAATAAAGCACTCATAAACGCCTTTGATAA